CTCAATCGGTAGAGCGTGAGACTCTTAATCTCAAGGTTGTGGGTTCGACCCCCACGTTGGGCGCTTAAAGTTTTTGCGTTTCGTAAACATTAATTTTTTTTTTTTTTGAAACTAAACTTTCAACGATCAGTTATCAAGATACTTGACATGAATCTATTGGATAGGCGGCAAGACCCTGACTATGTAAGCTTAGGTTTATTTATTCACGTGATCAAACACCGTAATTATCGTAAACACTTTTTAAAAAAATGAAAAGATACCATTTCCAGGACCAGTCTGTGTTTTTGGTCAAGACAATCGTGGCCATAGAGAAGCGATAATTTACTGTGTATCCCGTTTCAAATAATAACTTTGTGTGTTGTATTTAAAATTAAAAATCCATAATATTAAAGTATATAAACAAATATATGCTGTATATATTGTATACGTTATCAATATAAAGTAATTAATATACTGTAAGTTTAAATAATTTATGTAAATTCAAATTTATACTAGGGATAAGATTTTTTATCGATATACTGTATTTTTAATTAATCTTGTTAAAAAAAAAAAAGTAAATGATGATACAGTAAATAAAAAACACGCTTTTTTTTATCACTAATTGGAATTAATCATTCTTTTGGAAAAAGAAACCGTGTCATGTTGCGTAAATCAGAAATTCGGTTACGGCTAGATAATACTGTAAATGAACGTGAAATCGTTGGGTTTAAAGAAACGTCAACTAATTTAAAATTGTAGTTTAAAATAAGAGGATATATATATTTTTTTAAAAAAAAAGTATACTGTATATACAGTATATATTGTTATTATTAAACATTACATAATGCTGTATATTAATTGTAATGTCGAGAATATATACTATATATATATTATTGACTTATTTCCTAAAGGAAGATTAAGTTTTTTAACCGGGGTTACTTACGTATTGAAGATGCTGCAAATGCAAACTTAAATCTTTGGGAACGCGTGATTAAATATTCAAACGGTTCCAATCGAGATTGATGTTTTTTGCAAGTTATCGAAACTTCAAAACTTACAATTTAGTGTAATTCTATTATACTAAAGACATGCTATTTAGAAATTGTCCTTGGTCGTATGTAATGTTGACGACAGAACGGTGTGATATGACGTATAAATCCTTATAATCATAAAAAATCATTATGTAAGAGACGATTCCTCATTATTTCTGCTTCTATCCAGCTTCTGATAATTTGACATATGGACGAAATGACAGATTCAATATCTATTGTTGACGAAACAAATGATACCTCACCTCATATCGACTCGGAAGACAAGAAATTTGAAAAAAAACTTTTGAGAAAGATTGATCTGAGGCTACTCGTCATAACAAATATCATGTATATTTTGGCGTGTTTGGACAGAATCAATATCGGTGAATGACGATTTTAATATCATATGCCAATACTTTGAAGGGTTTTAATAATATTGATCGAATATGAGGTATTTCAGGGAATGCGAGGATAGCAGGATTAGAGAAAGATCTTGGTAATTAAATGGTTTTCCTGTTGATGTATACTAAAACGAAGCGAAAAGAACTGAATTTTTAATTTCTCAATCACAGGTCTCATAGGAAACCAATATCAAATTGCTTTATCAATATATTTCCTTGGCGGTGTCCTGTTTGAAATTCCATCGAATATGGT